GAGTGTGACAAGGTCTAGATAGTCTGGAGGCTTACAGATGGGTCATGGATAGAGGCAATCTTATCAGCCGGCCCAATCAGGGCAAGCATCTAGGACAGTTCAAGGAGCCACGGCTGCTCAATCTACACAACAAGCGTATGTTCAGAGGGGTAAGGTAGTGGAACAGAGGCCACAAGGAAGAGTGTATGCCGTCACCGCTTCCAAGCAAGCATCAGGGCCATCAGTTGTGAAAGGTACATTCCTCATTTTCAATACTTGGGCTATTGTGTTGATTGACACTGGGGCATCACATTCATTTATTTCCACATCATTTGCATCATTGTTAGGGTTAGAGAGTAGGCAATTGCAATCTTCACTCACGGTAGAGTCACCAGTTGAGGGTAAGGTCACTCTGACCCAGGGGTGTGTAATTTCAAGGCGTTACATGTATGTTGTTACCATGCCAGGTCAGTTGCAACGCCTTCTATTGTAAGAGGTAACTTCCTGTTGTTCAATTCTCTAGCCAATGTGTTGATAGATACGAGTGCATCACATTCATTTATATCGTCTTCTTTTGCATCTGCCTTGGGTTTGGAGTTTGGTCAGTTAGAGTCTCTTCTGTTTGTTAAGACACCTATTAGGGATAAGGTGGCTTTGGGTCAAGTGTACTGGTCTTGTGAGATTGAGATCGCAGATCATCGACTCTCTTTTGATTTTATTGTTCTTGATATGCATGCTTTTGATATAATTTTGGGAATGGATTGGTTGACCTACTTTCAGGCTTCGATAGATTGTCACTGTAGGAGGGTATCGATGTGTACACCATCTGGGGATTGCTTCTACTTCTTGTGTAACCGGGGTGATAGGTTTATTCCTCCATTGTATGACCTTAAGGGTCGAGAAAAGTTGAGTTTTCTTCTTGCCATCCTAGTAGCCGATGAGGGTAATCTCGGCAACATGGTCCTGGACTTGATTCTCAGCCTTAAGAATGTCCATGGACTCCCTCAATGCCCTTGCCATCTCCCTGACTAAACCATCCATGACTTGTTGACCCATAGGCTCGGCTACGTTCGTCTGACCAACTCTCTCATCCTGTGTCGAAATCTTATCCTGAATCGGCACTTCTTGACGTCGAGGCCTAACTCGTCTACCACATCTACCTCCACCACGTCCATGTCCTGACATCCTAATAAAGGTAATACAACAATTTAGCACATTCACAAATATGTCATAACTAATTCACACACGTTCTATTACAGGAAACAACACAATAATTCACTCCACGTAAATATCAAATCACGTATTCACAAATGGATTTCTTTTCCCAAATAATAACTGTTCTACAGCATTACCGGAGTTCTTATTAGAATTAGCAGTGCTCAAATACTCTTCTAACGAGACTTTTAGAAATCCGTAGACACAATCAACATCTTAGAAACTAAATTCTATACTCACTTAATCATGTAATCATGTTATCAAATAGCATACCAGGTATACATCTACTATTACTTAGCGAGATAAACTCATTGTGGTAATAACCACGTCTCACGAGCCCAAAATATTCAAACCCGATACGCTCTGATACCAAGTTATAGCATTCCAAAAATAATGACAACAGATACCCTCATAACTCTCAGCAGATATGCGAATGCTTAATAGTCACAAACATTTAATACCAAAAGCATTATAGGAACTATCATATATTCATTGATTTCCTTGAAATATTACAAAAGACGTCACATGTATTTATACATTCATCAATCATAGATTATGAATCTATAGCATGTGACATATATTTATATAGAAACAAAAGGAAACAAATATAAATTCATGCCCTAATGGCTACAAAGTTCCAAAACATTTCTTGGTTACAACAAAAGCGGGTCAACGTCCAATACAAATAAAGCCCCAGGCTTGTACAAAATGAATTACAAAACAAAAATTGAGCTTCCAACTCCACTGTCCTTCCAAGCTGTCCCCTTGGTAGTGATATACCATCAGCACCTGAAAATTGTTTTCATATAGGGTGAGTTATAGCCCAATAGAGATAAGTTTAATGATCTGTATGATTCTTAACAAAGCCATATAATGAATACACATGAATGCCAATGCCAAGACATGTGTTTTTTCCTTTTTTAAAAACATAATGCAGTGCCATAGTTCAATTCATGATTAATAAACCATTGCTTCCAAAACATAAAACAAGGCAATAAATACACACATTGTGAATCTCTGAGTACGTGTTTGCAAGTAAACTATACAAGTATTACCAAAAGTCATTTTACCGGTATTAACCGGAAGGATTGGCACCTAACCACGCAGGTTTTTAGACATTCACCCAGGACACAAAGGCCAATATAAATAACCACAACCACACTCTCTAACCAGATTCACCACGGTACTTACCCTTTTTTCTCAAAATCAAACCTTTTAATGCATAGTTATAAAATCAGTGCTCAAATTAAAAGCATGAATGAATGGTTTCAGCTAACCTAATTCTCATGCAATTGCTACAACAATCAAGATATCCTCCACCGATAGTCAAAATAGATATCTCTGCTGAATAAATAAATTTCAAGAGACAGATATAATTCATAATCTCATATCTTCATAATCTTAACATAGGAGTAACAATCACAAGTTCAATCTCATTTTTTGCATTCAAACAAGGATCACATCATTGTTTTGAAAACTCATCAATTCCCTCTCTGTTCAAGATCAAGAATCACCAAGGATTTCCCAATTTTCAAAATAACATCTTTTCATTCAATTTTCCTCATTTTAAAAGCCATTTCCCCCAAATTTCAATACCACTCATTACTATAAACAATTCCAACAACATTTTTAAGAAAACATTCCGAAAACCCCTCTTTTACGGACCAAAACATTTTTAAAATCAAACCCAATTCCCTCAAAATGCTACTCTATTCAAAGAGCACATAACGATGTTAAATACCATGCAAAACATGAAAGGAGTCCCTACCTCAAAAGAAGAAGAGAAGAGGAACAAATCCTAAAATTTAACGAAGACGAAACACAAACTTTTTTAGTTCAAAACAACCACTCCTCGAGTTCTATATTTTACCCCAAAGCACGACTATCAAGGAAACCACAGATTGAGAGAGATCGGAGGATTTACCCAAGAAATTTAGTGAGGGATGAGAGAAAACAACTTTTAGATATTTGTAGAGAGAGAGAGAGAAAAGTGAGAAAAAGATCTCCCCTCCCCCCCTCCCCTAGCTTTATACAAATAGACCGCTTGAGTGAACAAAATACCACTCGAGCGTCAGACACAACACATCGCTTGAGCGAAGACACTAAACTCCCAAAAGACCATTCCTGTAGAACGAACTGCTCAAGCAAACAAAACACCCTCAAGCACAGAATACAAACTCTTAATAATTCAGACTGCAAACAAACCACTCAAGCAACCAAACTACTGCTTGAGTGCAGAAAGACCTGCTCCTAGAAGTTCAGACTGCAAACTCAGAATCTGAGAGAAACAAAAGACCGCTCGAGCAATCAAAGCATTGCTTGAGCAAACCTAAGTTCAAACAACCAAAACCTCACCAAAAAAACTCAAAATCCCACCTGTTCAAAACAACTCAAACAAACCCCAAACTCAACTCAAATCACACATTGACTAAAATAGATGCTAACAATACCAATAGATACAAAATTCATAACCAAAGAGTGTAAGAGGATCGGGTCTTAACCTGGGCCACTATAGATACCTTGCCTTCTACCCCTTGAACTTCTTGCTTTGTGCTGCAGATGATTTTGCTTTTTGTTGGGTGCCAACCCAGTGGGGATTCAACTCAAAGCTTTGATGATTCCTCTCTTTGCACCCCTTGTTTTGTTGTTTGTATCTTCTCTTAATGTTTTCACAGCTTGATGTATCAATAAAACTTTCTTTTGCCAATCAAAAAAAAAATTTGTTCCTCGTTGTCTATATAAGAGGCTCTGTATTGTGTTATAATTTTAGACTGAATCTAAGTAATAAAATATTATATTTAATATATAATTATTCATTCTTTGTGATTGTATCTGCTGTTACTATCTCAAAACTCTTAACTAGTTTTCAGTGAATCGAACACAATTTGTCATGTTTTCACAAATTTTAAATCCTCATGTCTCAATTTTACATGCCAACGAATTAGGGTTTACATTGAACATCTTGAGTTATACCATCTCTCAATGAGTATTCTTAAATCCAATTTGTTTAAAAAATAAGTTCAAATTTTAGTTTAACCAAATTTTAAAGATAAATATTGATTAAATATATAATGACACTGACACCTACAAAAGAATCCGTAAATTCATTGATAAATAAATAAACTTAATTCAACCGCAAGTAATTTCCACTTATGGTCTCGATGTTGTATTTTAATTCATTTATTTTTAATAGTTAATAAGATTCCAAACTATTGTGTTACAGTTTAACTTCTATCAAATTGTCATATCAACTTGAAAGAGCGTTTAAATTTTATATGTCCATTTTGAAATCAATTTCGGTAATCCAAACTATTCATTTTTTTAGACTCATTGAGTAAAATATTCATACAACAAATTAATATGATTGAACATCAATAATTATGTTTAAATCATTTTTTTTTTAAATAAACGACAAATAAAATTTCAAAAATAACTATTTATTTTTTTTAATACAAATTTGACTTAAACATATAACTATCAATATCTGATTATCTTGATTTTTTACATAAATATTCTACTCAATAAATTCTAAAAAATAAACAATTTGAATTATGAGAACAAGATCTTTGGTGAGCTCCACTGCTCACTCAAGAGAGAAGCATAGCCCTTATTGTCATCATTGGGCTCATGATACCAGTTGTCCCGCCCTTCTCACCTCTCTATTTATATGACTATTTCCACATCAGCAAATCTACTCAAGTCCCATATTTAACCCTAATAAACCAAACATCAACAAAATCTACTCACAAGTCCCATATTTAGCCCTAATAAACCAAAACAAAACGACAAAGAAGCAAGGAGAATTATAACATACTAATCTCCAAGGGACCACATAATTTTTCCCATTTCAGGCCAGCAATGATCATTTTACAATATGAAGGCCAACCCAACACTTCTATGCAACTTCACAAATTATACCTTTTACATTAAAACTTCTTTATATACACTGCTAAGAAAACACACACACACCACCCAAATATTAACAACATTCACTTTCGCCATGACAAGGATGCATATGTAAACCTTTTGACTTGGCAAGGTACACCCAACATAGACAGACACAAAAGTAGCAAAGTCAGGATAACCAAGAATATTGATACCGAACAACAATTGACCCTCTTGTCTGATAATAAGCTCAGCAAACATTTTGGCAACCAGGATTCCTTAATAGAGCGGTCATTGCTAATTTCAACCTCCCGTGGCTCAGCTTGGGATTTCTCTTGTTTTCGCCTACTCAGTATAATTCGCCTATCCAGTTTAATTCTTCGGTATGCTGTGCCCTGGAAAGGAAGGACATGTGACAGGTTTGCTTGTACTTCCTGTTGAGATCTCTCATCCTTGGAATTCTCAGGAACCGTTGGCAAGAGATCATCAGGAGTTGGAGACAGTAAAGATTTGTCAAGGTCGACAATATCATCTTTTATTATCTCAGCATACCACTCGTCATCGTCACAATCCTGCAATTTAGGAACAAATCTACTGAAAAACAAAGATCATAGATTTGGGAAATTAAGGTGGGTCCATTTAACCACATAATGATAAATTCCAAGAAAGAAATGCTTCGAATTGTAATAGCCAATATAAAGCTTTCTAAAATTAATGAATGTAAGATAATAAAAGGCGGGAAAAACAAACCAACCAATCTAAAGCTTTATGTCTAAAATGAACTGCAGTAAAGACATAGGAGGGAAAAACAAACCAACCTGGTGGCTAGAACCAGGCTGAGTACACTCATTGGGGAGTATCTGATCAGATTCAGATCCATAATCAATTTGCTGCTCAACTGAATGAGAGTTATGACTGCTGGCTCCTTCAAATATGCCTGATAGTTCAGCACCAATTTCAGATAAACTAAAATTATTATTATTATTATTATTCTCAGTTGATAAATGCCTTCGACTCGAAGAACCTTGTCTTGGATTATCATTTAACCGAAACTCACTATTCTTCCGAAGGCGGCAAACAACCATAGCATCCTACAGAGACAGAATGACATATTTTGTCAAATAAATGATAGATTTCTCCAGAAAGAACATTACATATTTTGAGCAATCGAAGACATGTTGAAAGGGAAACATTGCCAGCACATTATACTCGAAAGGAAAATTTTGCAAGGCATTAATAAGTAAAGGAAAGTCAAGTTTTGATGGCAAAAGCAGTTTGGGAAATTAAGATAGTAACATAGATCAAGGAAGTGTCCTTCTATCATGTCATCCTTTCATAAAGAGTCGATTTAACAAAAAACATCGCAAAGTCACAATCATTAAATCCAGATGGTTTGAAAGCTGATCACTATTATATCATTTTGGGTGGTATACCACTTTCATTTTGTGCCTTTAGTACAGAATTGCCCATCTCCTCTATTTCAATAAATTTTCTTTAACACACATCAAGATTACAGCAAACATTGGCAGGAAGAAGAGTCACATGTTAAATAGAGTTTCCATAAATAGATCCTACAGGAATGAGGTCAAGAAGAATAAGTACACCATGAAATTTCGATCACATAAATAAAGATTTATTGTACTTAAATATTGAACAAATGCAAAATGGAAATAGAGAACAGTAGTCACCAACTCCCCTATGCGAAGCATGTCTTTCTATGTGTATCTCCATTACGTGGCATCTTGATCTATGGACATCTTATACATCAATCAATATATGCCCAAATCATGATTCTTTATGCAATCATCTTCTCGTGCCTAAACAGTATTGTATGTTCATTACATCAAAACACAAACCAAGGTAAATCAAGTTGTCAAAACCAGCAAATTTGTTATGATGACCTAGTTGAGAGAGTAAGATACATCGATGTAAAACACTGAGTTATATTTGACCCAAGTGAAAACCAATGGGCATCCCAAGATATATCTTTCTTGTTTGTATCATAATCTCAAAGTGAAGCTCAAAGTCAACCTGGATAAATATCTTCTAAATTGCATGAAATGTGTAACTGCAGATTGTTAAATATACCAGTGTAGAAAATATTAGAGAGTAATTACCACTTACTGATGCTTTAAATAGCTATCAACATTCAACACTGGACACCCAAAATATAAAAAATTACAAGATGCTGCCTCAAATCTAGTTTCAGTATGTAAAGCTAATGTTTTCAATATAAAAACGAACTCATGGTTTCAATGTTTAAAAAAATAATTAATTAACTAATTAAATGAAAAGTGCATAAACCATTTTTTCCAAGTAACATTGTAAATCATCATTACACAAAAGTTGCTTGCTAAAAAGATCAAGCAGTAGTTCCACTGGTTAGGAAGCATATTTTGTCCTGATCCCTTTATGAAATTTCTTCACTCTTTTTTTTTATTTAAAAAAAAAAAGAACTTTATTTATGAGAAAGATGAGATGCACAAAAAAAAATTATATGGATTCTTCATAGTTTGGGCCTGAATATTTTAATCATTACTGAGAAGCAGTTAGTAAAAAAAATCCAAAACAATTCTTCATCAAAAATTTGTGAGGCGTGTGGAACTCCAAAGATAAGGAAGTCTCCAATGTTCTAGTTGAAAATGTGGAGTGTTGCAACAAAGTATGGTCGCCTTCTAACATCCAGAAATGTTATATGATGACTAATAACGAAGTTTGCAACAAAAAATGTATACTTCATCCTGTTCCGATATTAGCCCAAGTAGCAATAGTTTGCAAATAAAATCCACATTGAAAAAGTACTAATAAGGGCACTCTTGAACTATAATGCCATAAAAATAATAAAAATTAAAAAAGAGGGAAGCAATTTGTGTTTCTGACATACGAACAATATATGCATAGCCCAAAAATGCATCTGCTGCCACCTATAGGAAACTTCAATAACAATTATCAAAAAATATATAAAAAGTAACCACAATGACATGAACATGATGTCTCAATCATTCAACCAATCATCCTATTTAATGGCATTAAAATAGCTTATGGACTTTACTTTGGTATTGATATTGTTGAACTATAATTTCTCTTTGGCTTTGTAATTTCTCCTTTTAGTTTTTATATTGAACCGTGATTTGTAGGTCAAATAAACTATAAATTATAAAAAATAAAAAATTTGTTGACGTACCCCAGTCGTACCCAAGTCTTATTTTTTTTAGGTCTTGCTGTATCAGTGTACCAGTAACCTACCCATACCAGCACTAGTGCTTCATAGACTACTAGATAAAGGATACTTTCAAGTGACATGGCACAAGAGTGAGTTTGTATTTATAAATTATAACAGCTGATATTCACTAGACAAGCTTTCCAAAAGAAAGCCGCATTACATAATTCAAGTCAGATACATCTATGAGAATATAAAATATTGTCAAAAAGTATTAACACCATCACCTGAGGATTTCCATTCATACAATACTCATGCATTATCCATTCTGTCCTCTCCCCTTTTGGTGCACGACCTATGTGGAACACCAGTGTCCTTTTTGTGCCAATCAGATTAGATCCTGACTTCACATTTCGTTCTTTCCCAGTGGCTTTCCAATAGCCAGATTCAGTTGCTCTCTTACTTTGTGAGCCATTTGGGTACTTCCTTCCACGAGAAGAAAAGAAGAACCACTCATTCTCTGAAGGAATGACTGATTTAGCTGGCAATATATAAAAATCACTAACCATCCTCAGTGCTCAATAAATCGGACTATGTATTCTTCAAACACAAAATAATGTATTAAAGCAGGTGAACCACAAAATAAATACAAACAATGGCACTTAATACCCATGAAACAGTGAAAGTAAGGCATAATATCCAGAAGCCAATGCATAATTACTTCTATAAACATATCATTTTGTCCTATAGAAACCATACCACATGGGACACCTATAGATATAATGAAAATTCTGAGTCAATGTCATCATAAATAATTCCCATTAATATAAGTTGTAAAAGTGCATATTAGTATACGTCTCATTAATATTAGTTCTCAAGTGTACTGCTTCACATTACTCACTGAAACCAAACCAGAGTAGGGGATGCCCTTCAAACTAACATAAGAAAAAAATGAAACTATAGACAATAGCTAGATACATAGGTGAAATAACCAAACTCAACTTAGCTAAAGCTATCCTAACAATAGGGTTGCTTACATTATCACATTTAAGGTTGCATGATAAGGACCCATATATAATCAACTTTTCCAACTCGACTCAGATTAGAGACAAAATCCCCTTTTTGTATCCACTTTTCATTTTTGTCTTTCCTGTGGTCTCAGTTTTGATTTAACCAATTTCGTTTTAAGCTATATGATTGATATTATAAAATCCTTCATCCTAGTTCTCACAGACCGTCTAACCACCAAAGTATAAAGTTAAAATGCGCAGAAACAAAGCCGAATCAATTTAGCTACCAAATAACATACAACAAGTATTACATAAGACCATCTGCATGATACTGATGCACACGAGATTTTTTGAATTATTTATTTTTATTATTTTGCATCTAGTATTTGATTAGGGATCTTGTGATTTAGTATAAATATCCTACAATTATTAGGCTTCTTTTTTTATTGATTACTAGTTCTACAAGAAATTAGGATTAGTTTATGTCCTCTTTAGTACTCAAAGGAATTTTAGAATTAGGATTTCTATTATTAGAAATAAGGATGCAAAGCTTATGGCCATGGAGAGTTTCTCTTCATTTGTATGTATAATATTTTGAGCATTCTTAGACTAACAGAACATTAGAGTGCCTTTATGTTAATCTTGTTGCAAGATTACCACTTGTACGTGATTTCGTGCATTAGTTGGTATCAAAGCTTCCACTCGAGTCCTAATCATGGCGTGACAAGCAGTTTGTGGTAGCCAGAATGCCTATATTGAAGACATGTATGAATGAAAAAAAGATGCACAGGATACAGGATGGAAGGAACAATTACAGCAGCTTAGGGATGCGGTTGGTGTGTTGGCACATTAGGAAGCCATCTTTACCGATGCAAATCAACCTCATAACCAACCACTGAACTCAAACCCACTTGAGGAAGAGGATATGGTTAATTGGCCATTCACAGCAACTGCTACTCCATATCCAATTGTGGATTGGAGTAAACTACCAATATTTTATGAGGACCCATCTATTATTGAAATTACAAAGGCTTTCTAGTTACTACCTTTGGTAAGACACCTGTTGCCCACATCTGAAGTAAAGTTCTGGCCGGTGGTTTCCAACTCGGTTTGTGAGTTTGAGGATATCAGGACCTCATATGGCTTAGTTGAGGTGCCAGCTTTGGTAGTTGTTCAATCCAACTACAACCTAAATAGTTTTCACTGTAGCGCATCTAAAGAGTGAGTACTTTAAGACTAGACAAAGCAAAGTTTCAACCCTTAGCTTTGTGCGTTGATGAAGATGGGTCAAATTTATTGAGGGAAATTGTTCCTTTAAGTTTTGAAATTTAGATTTGAGAAAATTAGCGTTAAATGCAAAAATATATATATATATATGCAAACAAGTGTAGGCACGACAAAATATTTTGGGCAATGAAAACTCCAAAACGAGTTTTTCCAAGAGAAGGGAGGGTGATATAGTCAAGATTTTTGGAATTGCACATTCTTTACAGCACACACTTCTATTAAAAAAAATGTACAACCATTTCAAATTTTTAACAAGTGAAGTGTGCCCTGAGAAAAATCGTTAACAAAATCCTTTTATTATTTTGGAATTAGTGTTTGATTAAGAATCTTGTGATTTAGTATAGAATAGTCTAGAATTATCAAGTTTCTAATATTATTGATTAACAAGTGTGTTACTCTGTTTGTGTGTTTAATATTTTGGGCATTCTTTAGGCTGGGGTTGTTTGGGAGGTTCTTAATAAGTGCCCTTTTTGACTTTTTATGAAATATGAATTGGGTTTGAGGTGATGTGGTAGAGAAGTAATGTGACTTAAATAAGATAATGTGACTTGAATAGGATAATGATTTTTTGGCTTTATGACTTTTTTAGGGAATGCCAAACCTAGCCTAAACAGAATATTAGATTATGTTTGTGAATCAAGTTAATCTTCCTTCACCATTTGCACTTTCTTACAGGTGTTTAATATTCTGGGCAATCTCAGACAAAACAAATATTAGATGGTGTTTGTGTTAATCTACGAAATCCTCTTCTACACACTTCCCCGCCTTAGATAAGCAGATGGGATTAGAGTATGAGTGCAAGAAAGAGATGCTAAGGGGATCAATGGGATTATGGGAGAACCATCAAGCAAGTAGTTTATACCTTGGTTCTGATTCTTTTAAACAAAATATTATTCGTTTCCACAAAAGACAAAATGAAAAAGAAAAATTAAAGGGACGAGAAAACAATAAGAAATTATATCATTTCCATTCAACTCATTTTAATCAAAAGAAAATAATTCCCCGTAAATACTACTTTCTTGTGCTCTTTTGAAAAAATGCAAGAATATACTGTAAGAACTCAAAAGTACGGAGAAAAAAGAAACAGAGAATAAGGTACCCGAATAAAACAGCCTAAATTATATATACTTTCTAAGGAAAATTACAAAAAGCGTTTGTTTCTTATAACAAAACAAACTTGAATTTTTAATTTTGTCAGTTTAAACCATACCCATTGAGATTTGTTTTCAGTCTAAACCATTTGACTCGCTATAACTAACCCACAAAAAAAAAAAAAAAAAAAAAAAAAATTTAGGTGTGAAAAATATCCCATGCATAAATTTGCCATTAAGAAAAAAACTATTAATTTGTTCACTTTCAAATTTTTATATTTTGCAGCAATCAGAATTTTCTGTACCTTCACGTGGGATTTCTTGACGTTGGTACACGAGTATTAAACTGAATGTAAGAAGCTTTATTTTATTGATTTCTTTTATAGTTGAATGCTTAATCTATAATAGGATTTATAATTGTATGGTTGCTTGTTATATTGCTGGAATCTAAAATGTTAGGTTCGGCTTCGAGCCAACAAAAACAAGGAAACTTGCCATTCCAGGTGCGCAATAATCCAGTGTGTATTTATTTACATGGCTATATGAAAATTTAATTTAATTTATTTTATTTTTTTTGGCAGGGACATCATCATCCTTTCTCCATTTGGGATGTTGTAGTATTCAAGTTTCACAAAAATATTAAATGAAGTGGTGCAATCGTAGACTGAAAATCCCGAACAGGACAAAGATTGTAGAAGTTAAAAATGTTTACGATGACAATGTTGTTTGGACCTTTGTAGATTGATTTTTAATTTACCATTGAGAATGTTTGTATTACATTTTGGGAGAGACTTGGGTTGTTGAATCACTATCATTTTGGTGTAGGCTTGTGTAGGTGAACAATTATGTTCAACTTTCAAGCACTATTTTTGTCAGTGTTTGTTCATTGTGGAATGATTCAGTTTTTCTTCATTTATGGTGGTTTTTTCCTTCATGGTTGAGTAGATTACAGATGTTCTTTAATTGGTGACCTCGACAAAGTCACCATTTACAGGTTATGTTTGAAATGTGGTTTTGATACATAGGAATGAAATTGAAAGAAATAAACAACAAAGTGTCCAAAACCAATGGAATACAACAATTGAATGCCATTACTCGTATTTTTCAATATTCATTTTAATGCCATAGGCTTTGGGATAGGCTTTCCCTTCATTTTAATGCCATTACAATACAAAATATATAAGTGTGTCCAAAACGAACACCTTCAAGATATTAATATTACATTCAATTCTTTCAATTGAAGTAGTTCCATGTTGAAACACGTTGACCGTGTCCTTCAATTTTCAAATTCAATGTGTTGTTCTCCAGTTTTTGGGTGTTAAAATCGAAGGAGTTCCATATTGAAACACCTTGACTGTTATGGGATGGGATTCCACCATGCCCTAAATTTGCACTCTCACAAACAAAATAAAATCTCCCCTCTCCCTTCACTTTGTCTCACTGTCTCTTGTATTTTCTTAGAGAGATCAGATAAAAAGAAGATGAGAAATGTTAGGGATCATGAAAAAAATTTCATGAAAATGATCATGAAATATTTATGACTCTTAGATTACCTTGATTAGTGTGTGGTGCTTTATTCTAAATGTAATCCAAAGGTTACAAATCTTTCATGATCATTTTCATGAAAGACTTTTCATGATACCTAGCATTGCTGAAAGAAGATTAGTGAGGTCCAAGGGTAACACACAAATTGAGAAATGGTCAAAATATTTTTGAGCTGGCTATTGTAACAGTTAGGTTTCATGGTTTAATGGGCTTGTCCACAGATATAACCAGTAAAAATTTGTTAATCAGAGCACATAAGAAACATATTTTGTTTATTTGCGTTTTTAAAAGGTGAAAAGATTGTAAAATCCCAAATTTTGTAAAATAATGATTTTCTAACTTCATTAATGTATAAATAATATTTCTATTTAAAAAATAAATATATTAGTTTACTTCGTAATTGTGAGGAACTTGGGTATTTTTGTAATACTTTGAAAGAAACAAGAAAAATGCTTAGTTTTTGTAAAAGTAAAAATAATTATTATATAAAAAATTTGGGATATTACACCATGTCTTATGCCAGTGCAAGGCCAGTACAATGTTTACATTTGGGGGATCATAGCTCTAAATCACAGTTGATTACCTAGAGTATCTCTAATGATATTTTG